GAGTCTGAAGACTTATTAGCCCTATGACCTAAGGCAAGCCACTCAGTGTTCTTATCTATAAAGCAAGAATAATAATACCCAGCTTGTCTTTTAAAAGTTGCTGGGACAGATCAACCAGACAGAAAACCAACAGGGAGACAACAGCCTTAACTGAGGAATTAGAGTAGATGGATTTAATGGACATTTATGGGGCACTTCACCCTACAAAAGCTGAATATATATTCTTCTCCAATGCAGCTGGAACATGCTTGAGAATAGAATGCTTGTTGCGCCACATAACAAGTGTCATTAAACCCATGAAGAGTGAAATAATTTCAAGTGTCTTCTCTGACTGCAATGGCATGACACTAGAAATCAAGAGAAAGAAAATGGAAAAAAGCTCTAACAGTCAGATATTAAAGGACATGCTACTGAGCGGCTATTGGGTTAATGAGAAAATTAAAGGAAAGATTAAAAAATACCAAGGGACAAATGAAAAGGAAGACATGAGCTATTAGAACCTGTGGGATATAGCGAGGACTGTGCTAGGAGGGAAGTTTATAGCAATATAGGCCACACATCAAGAAAACAAAAAACAAAAGCAAGAAAAGCTCAAATAGATAATCTCTAACTTTATACCTTTAGGAACTAGAAAGAGAACTAATGAAACTGAAAGCCTCTAGAATGAGGGAAATAATAAAAATTAAAGTGGACCTACATCAAATTAAAAAGACAGAATGAAAGATCAGTGAAACCAACACTGGTTCTTTGAAAGAGTAAATGTAAATAGACAAATCTCTAGCAAGACTGTAGGAAACAAAAAAAAAACAAAACAAAAACTAATCTATAGGTAGAAATTTAAAAAGGGAGTTTACAACGGACATCTTAGCAAAACAGAAGTCATAAAAGACAGCTAGACAGCTATATCTTTATGCCTATAAATTGTATAAACCAGAAGAAATGGAAAAATTCTGTAGTCCTACAACCTCCCCTAACTCAGTCAGGAAGAAACAGAGCAGTTGAACAGATCAATTACAAAATAAAAACAAAAAACCCTGAAATCTTGTCATGCGTGACATGAATAGAATTAAAGTTATTGGGAGACTTAAATGAATAGAGAAGAGATTTTTGAGAGTGCTTGGTAAACTGGCCATCCCACGCAAGCACAAGGTATTGCTATTGCAGAAATAAACATCAGTATTTTGAGTAACTGAACAGAAGCAACAGAAATCTGAGGGCTGAATGACAGTCTTAAGTGAATGGATTTGGAAATTTTAAAGACTTGCGTATATATATATATATATATATATATATATGACCTACCACTAAAAAATAATTAGGATGTAGACAACATATAAAATACTTGAAAATCAGGACCGCTCTGGTGGCACAAGGGGTTAAGCACAGCACTATGAAGCTCTCTGCAGCTACTGCAGTACCAGTTCCATCCCCAGCCAGGGAGCTGACCCACATGGTGAAGCAGACCTCTCCTGTCCCACTTGCTGCTCCCCTCATCAGTATATTTCGGTACATCTGCCTATTCTCTTTCCCTCTCTGACTCTGGTGAATCCTCTCTCT